CAACAGTTTTTCCATCAGGAAGAATTCCTTTATATACTGAACCTGATCCTCCTTGGCCTAACTTGTTTAACGGATCAAAACCACCTGTTGCTTTTTCTAACATTTCATATTTGAAATTTAGTTTCGATGTCTCAAGAGCCCGTGGAATCTTATGAACCCTCTTGGTACCTATGTATATCACGAATAACCAGATGATCCATCAGAACATGAACAAACAGAAATTAATAGAGAATTGAAGGTTTTGAAGAGAACAGAATGTGAATTAACGAATATACCTCCTTGCTCCGTAGAATATCTTCTATAGCCTAAAAAAGCTCCTAAAATAGCAAATATTCCCAAGATAGTCAATAATACAATCGCTGCAATTATCCATATATTCTTACGCTTCGTTGGTCCTGGAAAAGAAAAATTGAACAAGAGATCATAAGTAAGCTAGAAATACCCAAATGGCGATTGAATTTGGTAAGAAAATGGACCTTAGTCCTCACTCAATCCAAAAAAGTTAGCTTATGAAGTGAGCATTGCCCAAAACTGTATAACGAGCCAACAACTCATTCCTTCAGCTAATGTCACACAATCAAACACTCCCCAACACCCCCCAGGACTGGACATTTGGACCATAGACAATATAACATGTAGCCCCAACATCAGATAAACCAAGAAAGGGATGAACCCGACTCTAATACCGTGTTAATAAAATGGCCTTTAAGCCTAACTAAACGCAAAAATCCAGTTCATGAGGTGAGGATTATCGAAACCACATAAACCGACAAACAACTCATTCCCTCGACTAATGTTTGACAATCTAACAAAAATTTTACTATAATGTGATCGACTTGCAATTTTCTTTTTTTGTTACCTTTATCAGCCAGGACTAGTGCTCCATCACCAAAGAATTTATTAGAAGAGTATCTCAAATAGCAACCAGCATTCATAGCTTTTCCTTCTGCAGCAGGCAAACATTTTCTTATCATATCTCCAGCATTATTCAGGCACTTAGTACATATTTCCACGTCCAATGAATCCCAACATTGGCCTAATGCATAAACAGCAAGCAGCCCACTTTTCACAATCGTCGCTCCAAATCCTTTATTTACTACAGACATGCTTGTGACATTCGCAATTGCACGATCCACTCTTGCTGCAAAATCCCTTTTCATATACTGATCATTTGTTATATCTGTCGGAACACCACAAACATAACTAGACGAATTCTTTTGAACGCTCTCGTCGAAAAAATCATAATTTTCATATCTGAGAAAACAACCGTCTAGATAAACAGAGCCACCAGGTGCAGGAATGCACGTGTTGAGCTTTTCCTTAGCTTCGACGAAACAGAGTTTGCATTCGTCCTGAGAAAGATCGTTATGGCATTTCGCTAATCCATAAATATCAGGTGAATTAGAGCTTAAGGAATATGTTGCTGACTTATTTTCCGAAATGAAATCACTGAGAGTTCCCATGATTTCCATGTATTTTGGGAATAAATCGCTGGTAATTGACACATTTGTACGGGGTTTGCAAGAAATATTAGCAACCGAAGTTCTTGGATCACAAAGAGAAGGAGAAAACAGAAATATGAAGAAAATTAAGGAGATGAACGTGACATGTTCAAGGTATATTGGTGGAAAATGCATTAAATCTAAATAGGAATTTTCTTTTCTTCTTTTTTATTGATTTTGATCCTAAGTTACACTATTCCAGAGATAATGAAATTGTGACATATGTACAAAAGGTATTTCTGTAACAAATAAACATATTTGTACAGGGCAAGAGAAGAATTGAAAAGATTGAAGTCAATGCGTATGGAAATATCTAAGGGTCGAGTCTTCAATTTTCTCCACCTCTTCTTCTTCTTCTTCCTCCTCCTCTCTCTTTTTATTTTATGCAAATACACATAAGAATGCATAAATGTATTGTAAAATTAAAATTTGCAGAGGAGGGAAGAAAATAAGGGGGCGTGCCCCGTTTGGGGAAACTTGAAAGTAATGTCAATGATTTCGATCCGATTTTAATTTGTTCTTTTTCAAAATAGAGAGTTGAGATAATATAAATGGCTAATATCAATTTCCAAGTTCCATCACAACTTATATGTTCTTAAATCTTAATTTATGGTGGTAATAAAATCATTCAAGATGTTGGATATTTTGAATAATTTTATACTTTCTTTTAATCTAAATCATTTTGTTTCATTTCTATTTAGCTTAAACTATAATCAGGGACAAATCCAACTTTTTCGCAGTTGATGAAGCCTTACCGTCGTTTTCATCTCGGATTTTATAGACATATATATATAGTTGAACTTTTTTTTATTTGATGCTGACGTGCACCCGTTGCTATAAATAAGTAGTGAGTTGAAACCCATTTAAAATCAAGAAGACAAGAATGCACGGAGGGGCGGCAATTTGAGCCCAAATTCATTTGATCCGTCAAATTCGTCCAAGGTTTGGTTGGTCATTGACCCGATCATTTGTTGAAAACGACCCATCTTGATCCAACTCATTTCAGCACATCTAAAGTTGGGCTAATTTTTAGGTAGAAATGGTGTGGGATAGCCACTTTTTAACATGATATTTAATTTTTATCCAGTATTTTTAATTTTGAGCAAAAATAGCCACTACTCTATTAAAATTAATACAAAAAGATGGTGTTACCCTTTCTTCATGAGTGTTGTGTAAATATTAAGGACATGGTGTCCTTAACATTTACACTGCACACATGAAGTTAAGGACGTCGTGTTCTTAACATTTACACTACACATATGAAGTTAAGGACATGAAGTCATAAAGTTTAACAATAGAAGGTGCAAATATAGGACACTTTGTCCTTAATATTTACACAGCATTCATGAAGTTAAGGATACCATGTCTTTAATCTTTACACAATACTCATAAAGTTAAGGACATTATGTCCTTGATATTTATACTGCACACATGAAGTTAAGGATACCATGTCCTTAACATTTAAACTACATATATGAAGTTAAGGATATGAGGTCCTAAAGTTTAACAACAGAAGGTGCAAGTACAAGTTAAAGACATTATGTCCTTAACATTTACACTATATTTTTTTTTATGATTTCATGGTGTTCCTATTTTTCTTATGATTGTTGTGATGATACTAATATTTACTAATATTGTCTCCCTTTGCTTTGCATCTTTCTTCTAGATTTCATGGTGTTCCTATTTATCCTATGATTGTTGTTGTGATACTAATATTGTCTCATTTTTGTCATTTTATCTTCTTTCTTTTTCTTTGAGCCGAGGGTCTTTCGAAAACAGCCTCTCTACTCCTTCGGGGTACGAGAAAGGTCTGCGTACACACTACCCTCCCCAGACCCCATTAGTGGAATTTTACTGGGTGTTGTTGTTGTTGTTGTTGTATTTACACTATATGCATGAAGTTAAGGACGTCACGTTCTTAACATTTACACTGCACATATGAAATTAAGGACATGATATCCTAAAGTTTAACAACGGAATGTGCAAATACACGACTCTTTGTCCTTAATATTAACACAACATTCATGAAGTTAAGGACACCATGTCCTTAATATTTACACTGCACCCATGTCTAGCACATGGGTATTTTCGTCCGGACGGGTAAAAATTTAATAAGCACAGGCTAATTGTACACTTCTCCCTAATTTTTAGCCCAAATTGATCCATGAGTAACTTTCCTAAAATATCTTTAAAAATAATTCTTTTTTTTCTTTGATATGTTATATATCACTAGGGGTGTACAATGAAAACCGATAAACCGTACCAAACCGATAATCCGAGTCAAACCGAAAAAAAAACCCGATGTGATTTGGTTTGATTCGGTTTGGTATTGGAAAATAAAATTCGACCATAATTGGTTTGGTTTGGTTTTAACTAAAAAATATCAAACCGAAACCAAACCACCCCAAAAGTACATTTATATAATTTTTAAAAATATTTTATACATATAAATATTTATTGTAATGTAATTTATAAATATTTCTTAAACTTTTTCACAGTTTTATCTTTTAACGTATTATTTCAAGTTTAGACTTAACATTCTTGATGGTAAATAAATTTTATAGCCCATAAATATAGTAACTCCAACAAAGTTCAAATCAATACTAATGCTAACAAAAGAAATTCAATTCAATACTAGGAATGATGAAAGTGTTGGATAATTATTTTAGTTTTACATTGGTTTATAATGAAAATGCATGACTTATTTTATCTTTTTCTTTAGTGCTTAGTTATATAATTAATATTAGTACTTATTAGCTATACTTATTTTAGCATGACCTATATAGTATTTTTAGATTATGTTAATTTTTATTATGGCTTATTAATTAGCAATATTTGTTTTATGTAATTTTATTATTTTATCTTTATTATTGAATACTTTAGTATAATGCTATAACTTATCTCATATTATTGTGTTAGTTTCTTGGAAAATATATTATAATTGTATTTTTCTAGGACTTAAGAAATATTTCGATCACAAGTTACATATTTTATGCTATGAAGACTTTACCGGAAAAAAATCCGAAAACCCGAAAAAACCGAGATTGAAAAATCCGACACCATTGGTTTGGTTTGATAATTGAAAAATCCGAACCAACCCGAGTTTGACGGGTTGAGCTATGACTCAAATTTTAGCGGGATCTTTACATAAATAGCCGGTCATATTCATTACTTACTTTTTCTAGCCATATACATAAATTATACATTGATTACATATAATTATACACATATAGTACATACGTTATACATATATTATACCTTCGCTGGTTATTTTTAGTTTAAGTGATTGAGTGAGCGGCTATTTAGATGGATTCTTCAATTTTAGTGCATCTTAATCTAGCCCATCTTACCTGCCATTTGTTAACTCAACCCATTTTAACCCGCCCATAATCAGCCCAACTCGCCCATTTGACAACCCTAAATCCACCTTTGACTAAAATTCAGTAACATCATCATAGGACTTGGATCAGAAGCATAAAGATTATCGTAGAGGCAATATGGTAACTGAATTAGAATTATATTGTTAGCAAGATAAAATGTCTGATTAGAAACATTGCGGGAAAGAGATTAATTTCCTCGAAGCTAAATTATTCAGAAAAGTGACCATATATACTTTCCATAACAGCATACTGCATGTTTTCTGAAGGTTTCCAATGACGTTTTCTCTGATTAATGAACCAATTGTTAATCTGCTTCGGATCTAAACCTGTTGATTCAGCTAGACATATTTTCTCTCCTTCCTGCATTCACCAAGTTCAATAACAGTATTATTCACATCTTTTTGTTGACAGAACAATATATTTTTACGTCTATCAATATTGTAACTCATATAAATATTTGTACAGCATCTCAAATGAACATCAAATGTGTTTTACTGATGGTGAGTTTTCATTGTGTGAAGTAATTTTTTTTTTCTTTCTGTCGAGATATTTCTACTGAAAATTTCAAACTTATTCATATCGAGATATATATATATAGGTCCTTGCTTCAACAATTTTTCTATGATTAATATACAATTATATAAGGGATGTATAATGGAGTTTAAATGTTTTCTTTTAACAAATAGCAATAATACCTTTATATTTGAGTGGGATTTTAATAATATATATGGGTGTAAGTACTATAAGATGTTCAGTATAATTTATCCTATTTTTTAATTACTATAATCTCTATTGACGAAAAATAAAAATGGTTACCGTAGGATAAGGCCATTTGTAGTGAGTGGTCCACCAGTTAAGCAAGATTTGCCTTGCTTCTCTTGGGAGTTTTCCCTTCTTATTCTTCTTGGAAAATTCTTGCTTTAGACTACTTATATATCCACTGTACTTTCGCATTAACTTATCCTTAATTTCATTCTCAGATCTGCACATATCATTAGTATTTCCACCACCACCGCTTGTATCAGCCACCTCCTCCTCCTCCTCCGTCCCCGCCGCTCCTTCATCTTTCGAAACAAATTAAAATACGCAACAGATACAGTGTAGTTAGATTTTCTAATGGCTTCGAAACTGGGGATGTAAAAAACAGATAATGATTGATATTAGGAAATTAATCAAATTTGCCTATGTACTACTCGACATTGACCAATTTTGGTCCAATCTTATCTCATAGATGGTTTTTGCCCTTAATCTCTAAGGAGAACTCCAACCTAAGGATAATTTAAGAGGAAATAACACATAATACCTATCAAGGCCAAAATAATTACCCGTTGTTGCCCACTTGAAAATTAATTACAATTCCCACCTATACAGCACAAACTTATTACCGGACTATTCAATTTCCTATTTCCCATTTAATTTGCTTTACCCCACGTGAGGGACATGTGGAAAATGCAAATCTATTCCCCTTTTTATTTTATTTTATGACTTGAATCACATTACTTTTGACTATCTTTCCGTCTATAATATGTACTTTGATTGTAGAAACATATATTAATAATTATTTTAAAAATAAAAATAAAAATGAAATAGAATATTCGCAGTGAGAAAAATGGACAAGAGGAATAAGTTGATCGGAGAAACTCCCGGGTTGTCGTGCATACCACAATTTCAAAAGGATTGTCCTGAATTTTTGTCCAATTGTTCTCCACATTTTCAATAAATAAATAATAATATTTATTAACATTAATGGAATTCCATGGAGGTATTATTCATTGCATTAGCTCTCATTGAGTTAATTAGATTATGTGACAACTGATATTATTTCAGTTTAATAATTGAATTTAAAAAAAAAAATAAACTCTTTGTGTACAATTGTATACCCCGTTGGTATAACTATGTACTATATTGATATTATTAGTTAGTTGGAACATTTTTTGGTTGTATTAGCTACATTTAATTGATACACTATTTGATTTTTCTTTAGTAATAATAGAATAGTACATTATCTTGAATTTTTGTAATTTTCCTTTATGCATGTTTATTATGTAATCATTTTGATTTTTTCTTTATGCGTTTATTTTATATAATAGTATTATAATACAATATCTTGAAATACATTCTTATATTAATATGTGATACACTAATTTTTTATTTTTCTCTTTATGCATGTGTATTATGTAATAGTAGTATAGTCATATATAGTTTTCTGGAATTAATTAGTAGAACTGTATACCCTATTGGTATAATTATATGTCATATTGGTATCATATGGTAGTTGGAATAGTTTTTGGTTGTTTTAGCTGCATTTTTAAGTAAATTCTATTCTAAAATGATTTATATGATCATGTTTTGCTGTGTTGGATTTTCTTGTACCTATGGACATAGATTTTGTGTATTATGTAATAGTTTTTATAGTTATATGCAGTTGTTGGAATGACCCCGTACAACTATATACCCTATTAGTATAGTTATATACTGTATGGGTATCATATGCTAGTTGAATCATTTTTTGGTTGTATTAGCTGCATTTAAATGGTACACTATTTGATTTTCTTTTAATAATAGTAATATAGTACAATATCTTGAAATACTTTATTATATTAATATGTGGTACACTATTTTTTTTTTATTTTTCTCTTATGCATGTGTGTTATGTAATAGTAGTACAATCATACAGTTGCCGGAAATTAACCAGTAAAGCTGTTGTAACGACCCGGCCAGTCGTTTTAAAAGTTGTAGCCTCATTCACCCATTTACTGCTCATTTTGTACTTTATAACTGTTATGTGACTTGCCGGGATAGTCGGTTCGGGTCCGGACACCGCGATCGTGTAGGGTCTTTTCTGGGCAGCTTGCAATTTGCACTTCGCGATCGCGGGACCTTGTCTGTGATCACATAGAAGAAATCACTTCATCCCATTTTCTATTTTTACCAAATTGGAGCTCGGAAAGAGGTAATATTCGGGAGATTTTCAAGAAAAATAATGGGGTAAGTGTTCTTAACTCAATATTGGTCAAATTACCCGAATCCATGGTTGTTTTTAACATTTAATTGGTGAATTAAGTTGGAAGATTTAGAAAACCCTCTTGGTTTAAATTGAAGATTTGAGGGTCGAGTTGATGTCGGATTTTAGTAAAAATTATATGGTTGGACTCGTAGTAGAATGGGCGTTCGTATTTTGTAACTTTATTGGGTTCCGAGACGTGGGCCCATGGGCGATGTTTTGGGTTAAATTTTGAATTTTGTTAGAAAAATTATATTTTCTTATAGAATTTATTCCTATAATTTGTATTGGTTGAATAGAATTAATTATGATTAGATTCGAGCCGATCGGAGTTGAAAAATCGAGGAAAAGGCATGCTACTTGACTGATTGAGCTCGGTTTGAGGTAAATGACTTGTCTACTTTGTGTGGGGGAAATTCCCCTTAGGATTGGTATTGATATGAAAATTTTGATGTGTTAAAAGTCGTGTACACGAGGTGACGAGTGTGTACACGGGCTAAATATGGAAGATTATGTCTTTAAATTATGTAGAGCACTGTTGCATATTAATTAAATTATTTTATTTTGTTATATTCATCGTCATTAATATATTTTCGTATTTTAATTTGCATGACCTGTTCTTGCTAAGTGTTTTACCTGTTTAGTTGAAACTCTGTTTCTTTTGTTATGTGCATTATTTGAAGGATGGATTTCTTAATTTAAATATTATTAAAAATGAAGTATTTTACATTTAAAAATTTGATATTTAGACAAGGTGTTAAATTTGTGAAATATTATATTTGCTGAATATTTTGTGAGATTTTCGTACTCATTGTGATTGAGCCGTGAGCTCCTTATTATGAAAAATATTGTTGTTGATTTATTCTGGCATGAGCCGTGAGCTTTTAATTGTGAAAAATATTGTTGTTGTTGATTTATTTTGGCAAGTTGAAATATTTGGGCACTTGAGGTACAAATTGTGATATATTGTGATATTGATACGCATGCGGTGGTATAAAGTCTGAGTGTTGAAACGCATGTGGTGAGATAAGGGTGGCTTGATACGCATGGCTAGTAGGGGAACTACTAGAAATCATGCGGTGTGATAAGGGTGGCTAAAACACGGGATGATATTTCAAGAAAATGAGATATTTTGAATTTATTTATGATTTGGGACTACGAGGCGGTACCTCGGGAGTGTCCTTGTTGATATTTCTTTATGGCTGCATTGCCTTTGGTTATTTTGGTGAATTTCCATAAAGTTGTAAATTTTCTGTTTTTCCTTCCGCGAGGTATTGTTTTGCCCTTATTCTGTGTAGTTAAATTGTGACATACTACTTACTTGATTCATTTTCATTGTTATTTTATTGTTATTATATTGTTAAACATTTGACCATGTCTTTTATTATTTTCAGTAGGGCCCGACCTAACCTCGTCACTACTGTACCGAGGTTAGGCTTGGCACTTACTGGGTACCGCTGTGGTGTACTCATACTACGCTTCTGCACATCTTTTGTGCAGATCCAAGTAAGTCCTACTACCCCAGATATCGGTGAGCTACCTGTGTACGAAGACTTCGAGTTATATCTGCCAGCGTCTGCAGACTCCAGAGTCCCCTTCTATCCTTATTATGTTGCTTCTTTATTTTCTTTAGACTCTAAGATATAGAGACATTGAGGAAAAATTCTTAGAAGTTTATGACTTATTCCTACCGGGTTTTTGGGAGTTGAAATTATTAAATTGCAGTTCTTATTTATTCGACTGTTAAGGATTAAATTTTAATTTATATTTAGTTATATTCCGCATTGATAGGCTTACCTAGTCTTAGAGACTAGGTGCCATCACGATATTCTACGGAGAAAATTTAGTGTCGTGACAACTATATACCATGTTGGTATAGTTATATGCCATATTGGTATCATATGATAGTTTGAACATTTTTTGGTTGTTTTAGTTGCATTTTTAAGTGATTACTATTCTGAAATTATTTATATGAACATAATTTGCAGTGCTAGATTTTTTTTGTGCTGATGGACATAGATTATGAGTATTATGTAATAGTTTTGGTAGTTATAGGCAATTATTGGAACGACCCCATACAACTATATACCCTGTTAGTATACGAAATGAACAAGTTGCTTTGCGAATATTTAGCTTGCAATGCGAGCATGTAATTTTCTCATACTTTTATTGCATCCTTTAATATTTTGGTACAGTAGTATAGTCGCAGATAGTTGTAGCAATATTCTAGAGTAATCATATACTCTGTTGGTATACATGTATACCATATTGGTATCATATGGTACTAGAAGTCTTTTTTGCTACTTATACTTTTATTGCATTTTTTAATATTTTATTATCATTTCTATTCTAACTAGTATATATGAAGATTTGGTGGTCGTAGATTATGTTTTCTTGCTCAATAATTGGTTATGTTACTACTAATGGTAGAGTGTGTACTGATATTTATAGAGAAGGGGATCAAGGTTTGCATGACAATCACGTGTTGATTCTTAGAATCTGATTATGTAATTTATGGTGCTCAACAACAGTCAATGTGATATTCAGTGAATTAGATCAAGTGACAACTGATATTATTTCAGTTTAATGATTGAATTTTAAAAATGAGAAAAAAGAAAAAAGGTATATTATACTAGTTATATTTAAAAAAAGGTGAACAAATATTTACTATATCAGCTATTTTTTTTATTGTATAAAAAAAAGAATAATAAAAAATAGTGAAAACAGTAAATGAAATTAGATTATGAAGAGAAAAAGAATATAAAAAAATAAGTTAAATGAAATTAGAAAAGGAAAAAAGAAAAAAATAAGAAGAAAATGAGAAAAAAAGAAAAAAACGAAAAGAAGCATAGAAATAAAAAAGAATAGGAGAAAAAAGAGAAAATTTCTCACAAAAACTACAATGGGTAGGAAATGTAATTAGTTTGATGGATAGAAAAATAAATGGGTAGACAAAGATAAATAGTTTTATTTTTGTGGGTAACTGTGTCATTCTCCCATAATTTAAACCGTAGGAAGAAGTTAAAGGGGTAAATTTGAACTTTTTGTTTCTCAAAGAATTTAGACACACAGAGTCGTCTACTTATTACGAGATTTAATTGCTCAATTTAAATACTCCCCTTGTCCCAATTTTATGTGATGCAATTTTTTTTTGTCTGTCCCCAAAAATATAAAAAAATTCTATATTTAAAAACGATTTATTTTTATCTTTATAGGATAATTTATTGTCACACAATTATATATGATTTGTTTCATATAAAAAAATTTAATTTTTTTATTTTCTTATTAAATTTCGTGTTAAATCACATATGATGACAATTTTGGACATTTTCCTGATAGTATGACCCCTTGGGTTATGTAACTGCAGAAACACATCAAATTGTGACGTTCAATATGCGTACTAAGGAGAATATACATCACAGACACAAACCCATCAAGCTGTGACGTTCTTTACGAGTATTAATTAGGAGAATATAAATCATATAAGGACAACATGAGGGTAACTCGTGACAAATTAAAGGCGTAGGTTTTGTTATGTCGTTTCAGAGTCAGAGAATCAGAGAAAGATTGTACTACTACATAGTTGCAGCCATTAATCTAACATAACCCGCATTCTACGCACTCTCTGTACGTACCTTTTTCTTTTTTTGGTCTTTGATGTTTTCATTTGTTGCTCAGTATCTATGTCATCATTTCATGTATATTTCTAGAAATGAACCAAACAAGGTAATGACTAATGAGCACTGAAATTATTTTGGCTTAACACTGTTGCAGACTATTTAAGTCATATAAAGTTTTTTCGTTTAATCATCTGGTTTCCTGAACCTATTGGCCGGACTAAAGTCTCATTTGTTTTTTTTTTTAATTAAGACGTTTGAATCTGAGTACATCTCTAAATATCAAAATATATATTAAGATTAAAATATTCGAATTTGAATATACTTCTGAATGTTAAGATTTGTATTAAGATCTGAATACTAAATGGTTAAGACTGTTTGTTTTTTGAATATACAAAATTTACCTTTATTTAAAAATTAGTAAACATAAAATTCAAATAAAATACTAATTAACCTAATATTCTATAATTAATATATATNAGAGGCAGTGGTTGATGGTGGTTTTGGTTGATGGTGGTCGTTTTGGTTGATAGTGATGGTTCTGGATAGTAGTTAGTGGTGATTGGTAACGATGGCGATTATGGTTGGGTTGTGATTGTTTATATTGGTGGGCGGTGCCGGTTATGGTTGTTGATCATGACGGGGTGGTTGGTTATGGCAGTTGATGTGTGTGAGTGTGTGGTTGTGGTTGAGGATGATGGTGGTGGTAGATGATAGTAGTGGTAGCGTCTATGGTTGAGTATGGTGGTGGTGGTAGTTGATAATGGTAGGCAGTGACGACAGTTAATAATAAGTATGGATGATAGTCTTTTAATGAAATTAAGTCTTTGTTATGGATCTTAATCATACATACCTATTAAGACCTATTAAATAATTGTGAATTAAAAAAATAAATACACTTAATGATTAAGATTCAAATTTTAAAAATAAACGCATTTAATTTTTTACCTAGAAGATTTTAATTACTCTATTCCAAATTACGCGAGAAGCCATTAGACATTACTAAGAGACATCCCTACTATATATATTATATGAAATTTAAATAATTAAGATTCAGACTTTCATAATTAAGTGCAAGCAAATGAGGATTAAGTTAGATCAAGTTCTTGTACGAAAGACACCATGAATTAATTTATCAAGAAAGTAGAAAAAGAGAGGAGCTAATATAACCCCCCTCCCCCCTCCCCCCAATACCTGTGGAAATTGAAGTGGTGATATTAAACCTCTACAAGGTTTCTAAATTTTTATTAGTCATTTAACTTGACATATGGAGCTGCCTAATTGCCTAAGAAAAATGATCACTTCAAGTCATTTATACATTGAGCATGCATTCAACACACAAATTAAAGATATGACATGGAAAAAAAGTTCAAACACATGCAATGTAAATAAATTAATTAAAAGAGCAAGCCTAACAGGGAAAAAAAGAGCAAACCATTTAATACGAAGCAATTTCATTTTCTTTGGGCGTATATATGTGTTAGATAAGTAAGAAAATTATGTAGAGAGTCTGATTCGAACCCTTACTTTGATAAAAACAGTTGACTTAGCCCTAGAAATCCTACATAGTACTAATTCGGAAAGGAAGCAGAAATCCTCCATGCAAGGAATGCAATCCCCCCTTTTTTCGAAACTAGAGAGGTTTCATCATATGAGCTTTACATTAAGCAGTTAATATTATAAAACTAGAGTGTCATAATTTTTCCACTGTTTATCTTCAACAATACAGGGAATAGCAGCTTTTCTAGACTGGATGATAACTTAAAATAATCAAAAGACCATACAATTTGTAAAACCATTCACCTAACTAACCAAAACTAAAAAACGCAAATAAAAAACAAAAAGTATCAGACATTGAACAGCACTTCTTTGCTGTGTACTAACTGAATATATTTATGCATATGGCCACAGCTTTTTGCTAGATATATCAGTTATAAAGCCTTAAAGTAGAGATTAACAGACAATCATGAATCGAAGCTTGAAACTTATTGGATGTCTAAGGACGACAAGATCATGCAAAGCCATGACGATGTATATGAAACTTAACTTTTTCTTGTACTTGTTTCTGCCACAATATCACATGCTCACTATAATTAACAAGATTCCCTCTGCTTCTGACTACTTAAGATGAGGGTTAAGAAAAAGGCTATATTAAGTTTAGGATTTATTTATTTAATTTTATGAGCATTAGAAGCTTTGCACAACTCCTTCCAACCAACGTCACTTTTCTCTTGACAAAGTGAATGTGACTTTTCTTTCTAGGGCCCTCTGAGAGGAGTTAAATCGTTTACGGATATAATTAAGTTATATTATATACCGACAGTGTAATTGTTTTTACTCTATTAGTGAATTTGACATGCGGAGTTAAGGATGAAGATGAACTCTCTGTCTTTCACATTTGAAGTGGAGGGTTCAAAGTTCAAACCCATCCGTAGCACTTCCCGTTTCCCCCTCCTCCCGCCCTTATGTAATAAAAAGAAGTGTGATAACATGTAAGTTAATTATCATTTTTATCAGATTACCCAACTAATACTTATCAATAAATTTACATGTTAATTATCTAATAAACCATTTGATTTAAAAAGTATATACTACTACTAGCTAGTATTTTTCAATATCTGTGCATAAAACTTAGAACTCAATCTTTATTGAACGTTTAGAGGAGTTGGGACTTGGGAAGGGAAGAAACTCAGACGAATCTACTGAATAACGCGTGGTACATTTCTCTCTTTCTTCAGACATGAAAGCACTAGGAATTGTCAAGTCACTCAGAGCCCGTGAGATAGTAGTTGTTTTATTTACCCCATTTGTGCAGATAAATTCAAGAAAATAGGAAGTGTGGATAGAACTAAGAAAAGCTAGCATAGCTAGCTTGGCCTTTCGTACACCCCGCAACTGTGGAAAGCACTCTTAAGGTCATGAATTTTGTACAATATTCAGAATGTTTGTTCTTTCTATCTAAAAGAAGACGTTCTGCATTTCACTTTTTATTTCTTTTACAGTTCTTCTTTTTTACTTTTCACCATTACTACTAGAAACAACAAGAAAGCCCGAGAAGAAAAGTAGTAATGAGAAGCATTTGAGCCATAAACAAAGAAAAATACAGTACTATGTTTTTCGTCTTTTTTTATATGTCTCTTTAATTTGACTCTAGCAAAGAAATTTAAGAATATAAGGAAAATTGTTGAATCATGTGATTTAAGCTAAATGTGTGTATAACAATATAAAAATGTCCTTTAAATTCTGTCTCGTCGTTTCTCATTTCTCTATCATTAATGATACTCCCTCCGTTCACATTTACTTGTCACGTTTTAATTTTTCACGCTCTTAAGAAATAATAAATGAAGTGCATAATTTATCATGATACCCATATTAATTGATNATGAAAGCTTGATACATATATATATATATATATACTACTCATAGGATTGAGATGAAAACAAGAGAGAGAGACCATGAAAGCATCCAGCTCAGAATCGTCGCTCAGTCGATTTGATCTCCTAGAAAGATCATTTTCGTGGACAATATTAATATTGTCCAACATATCAACAATCTCATCAGATGGCGCTCCTACCTGCAAACGTTATACATACCATAAGATTAATATTGATGAAAAATTGTCAGATAAGAAGAGATCATAACACCCAAGATCTTCTTGGTTAAACCCTAGAATCATATATAGCAATCCAAAACCCTAAAATCATAGCTGAACATTGTGTTCCTAGCAGTGTCCAAACACATAATTAAGAAAATATGCTTTTTTTCTTTCTTTCTTTCTCTAGGTCTACTCTTTCTACTAAACAGTTTCCAAACTGAAATTGTTTTACCTTGTGGCAGTCGATGTAAGTACGAAGAAGCTTAGGATACAAAGGATGAGAAGAGATCTTTGCTCTAATATCCGTCTCAGGATGATCTTCTAATTGTAAATTAGAAGAAGACGTCCCACTTTTATCAACTACTAAATTAGCAGCTGAAGTTTCTGGACACGCCCACGACATATTTCCGGATCCAAATCCCATTGGGGCCAGCCCATCGCAAAACGCCGGCGGCGATCCAAAATATGGCGGCTGCAGATTGTCCTCGACGGAGTAAACATCACTACTGCTAGAAACAAATTCGTACATTTTCTCCATTGATTATCTTTTAATGTTAATTTCCTACTATGCTCTTAATTATTTTGTTGTGATCAAGAAGGAGATCAAACAATCTTTAGGGTAGCTTATAACTTTCTTGCTTTACAATCGTAAACAATAAGGTTCCTAATTAAACTTTCAGAAGTAAATATTAAGGAGAAAGAGAGGCGGAAGGGAGGAGATCGAGCTGATGCTTGATGGAGAGAGAAACTTTTGCCTACAAACAAATGAATTACCTGGAGAAAGTTATATAGCTGCAGCACCTGATGATCAGGAAAAGGAAGCACTGTCATCTTTATTTTAATCTTCTAAATGGATTTATAAACATTTTTTTACCGCATCAGTAAATTTTAACTTGATTAGTTGCCATTTTTATTAGATTATCCATTAATGTTTATTGTAAGATATTTACATGATAATTATTTCATAAATGACCTTGTATAAATTATTTTTACAACGTCAATATATATATAGAAACTTGAACTCTTTTTAAATCTTGTGCACTAATCGTGTAAAGGTTTTGATCAACATTATTACGAAAAATTGACCACAACAATAGATAAAATTTAACCCCTAGATCACACTCATAGTGTAAAGTTCTCAATATATATAACTTAAGTCCGAAGAAATTGAATTCAAGTTATATATGTAGTGATGACTAGTGTCAAAGTTATATATTCTTTAATGCCAAATCCGACAAAAGAAAAAATAATAAAATACGTAAAATCCTCAAATATTGAATCATATGAGCTCCTTTGTGGAATCAGAGACGGATTCAGGATTTGAACCTTATGAACACTTAATATTTGAGCAAAAGTGATACTCTCAGCAAGTCAGAAAGTTTTTTAATGTTGGCTGGTCTGTTTTTAAAAGAAAAAGAGAAATAAAAAAGTACCTACGAGTGTTGTTTTGTGTAAAAAAACGAAAGTGAAGTTAAAAGTATATACTCCCTCGTTTCAATTTATGTGAACTTGTTTGACTGGACACGGAGTTTAAGAAAAAATAAAGACTTTTGAAATTTGTAGTCCTAAATAAGTCAAAAAGGGGCCCATAGTATTTATATGCTTATACAAGTTTCTCATTAAGGGTACGATTGTAAGTTTAAGCTAGATTATTATCAAATTTAGAAAGGGGTCATTCTTTTTTGAACGGACCAAAAAAAAAATAAATTTATATAAACTTGAACAGAGGGAGCAATGTATTCAAACCCTCATCGGATATTCAGGAACATAGCTTAAGTTGGTTCCTCCGTTTGCCACCGGACCAATTGATTTTACTTATAGATTCCAAGCTAAAAATAATTATATATTTAATAGATTTCTCATTGCAAATACAAGATTCAAGTAAAAGATACTGGTTTCTATAGAATTAATCCATACCCAATACCGTAGATCCGCCCTTGGATGGAATCTGCTTGACTACAATAATTCCTACCATAGATAACTAAAAGTTCTTTATTTTTCCTTTTCGTTTTCTCAAATGTATCATACTTAAAAATTTTGTTAACTAATATCGTGCTCAAGATACTGTTAATAACTAAGCCAATTCCAAGTTCTCTTTTTCTTTTTCCCCTCCCAATTCCTAACAGGTACTTTGTTTATGCTTCTTTCCCCGATTTTAAGTACCACTTTTGATGCTCCTAAATGAACTTTACTATTTTTAATTTCATAGTGGAAATACTTTCTCTAACTCCATTTGCTGCTGCCCAATGAGAGACGTTTGTCGTGCGTAAGTCCAACTAAATATTTAATTGGAGTGCATACTTTGACTTTGTATTTTAAATTTCACACAGAATCAAAGCAGCTTCCACTTTACTGCTTGCGGCTTGTTTTGCAATACGTTATTCAATTCTTTCTAATTTGGTTGATTTCTTTTTGAAGTGGGGCTGATCCATCGGAGCGTATAATGGAGAAGTGGGAATAACTATCTGGAATAAATTTGTAATCATTAAATTATAAGTACACTACTAATTTTGTCATTTTAGGTCCTTTTTTTTTAAGATAGAGGAGGAGAAGGAAAAATAATTTGGGAATTACAAGATGAAAAGTTAATTATTCAATAACAAGATGATAATTCAGATAGTCGGTATTACTAAGATTTTGGCTATGATGGTTGATGGTGGAGGTTAACGGTGATAATTGTGTGGTGATGACTAATAGTAAATGTCACGATCCAAACCGATGGTCCGCGACGGGTACCCGGTACCTTACTCAACGGAGTACCAATGTAATGTATCTTTCTTATTACATCATCATATACACATGACATACGGGACTAATAGGCCAACATGATCATTTATAAACTCAAAACATAGGCCGACAAGGCCGTACAATCTTTCACGTACACGACATATGTCTACAAGCCTCTAAGGGTACATAATTGTCATAAAGGTCGGGACAGAGCCCCACCATACCAAGCCATACACATCTAAATCATACTGACCAAACAAGCAACTCCGGAGCAAATGGAGTGCACCAATATCTTCTGGTGAGCTGATCGCCTACTTGGTGGACTCTCGACCTGTCTATCGAGACCTGCGGGCATGAAACGCAGCGTCCCCAGGCAGAAGGGACGTCAGTACAAATAATGTACCGAGTACGTAAGGAATAAAAATCAGTAAATAATAGACATGAGAGAAACATGGAGTAAAAGACTCGACATGTATGTCTGCATAACTCTGTGAATCATTTCATTTTTTATAACGTCATGCATATGCATATAAATGCCATACCATGCATAGGTATATGTGTTCATAACATCATCAAGCCTCTAAGGGCATCCCATCATATCATTTCGGCCACTGTGGGCAAATCATCAACGTATACCAGTTGATCAGGTAGTGGTGCGTATATAACGCCATAACTTTTTTCCATATCCCATATATATATATATATATACATATATAAAACTCTGTGAATCATTTCATTTTTTATAACGTCATGCATATGCATATAAATGCCATACCATGCANTAAGAAATACGTTAATAAGATTTTTTCGGAAGGTCATAAAAATAATATGCCTGTCGGATAAATTTTATCAAATACGTATTTTTCTGAGACCCATGAACAAAAGATATAATAATAATTCACATGGGGAATCAAGAATATAGATACCCCTAATATTTCTATGAATAGAGTCATTTATGAAAATTGTGCATTTGCTCATTTCGTTCGTGTCGTATAGATCATGCCAAAAGGAAAGAAGGGATAGCCTTAAAATACCTGAGTCGATTTTTCTTGACAATCCCTCTAACACACGCTAATTGCGACAAGACACGTGACGGTAAGATCGGAGTATGGAAAAAAATCCGTATAAAATGTTCGAATCAAATAACGTTGCTATGTAAAATAATCTTGGCTAAAACTCTTTCTTCAATAACGTTGCTGAAACTCTCTTAAGAGATTTAAAAGTTATTTGAATTGTAAAGTTTCTATGTTCTTGGCAGAAACTTTCTTAAGAGTTTAGAAAGTTCTTTGAATTGTAAAGTTGCTATGTTCTTGGCAGAAACTTTCTAAAGAGTTTATAAGGTTATTTAAATTAGCAAGAAGGGTATATGATGTTCTTACTTTATTATTCTATGTCCCAATAAAATGAAACCAAGACATGTAATAAGTCTCACTTTAGATGGCCACCTAAGACAATATGACTAAGAGTCATATGTTTTAGTAGTGGCTTGCTGCCACGTTTTGGGGGTGGGGTGGGGATTTTGATCTTATCTAATAATTAATTAACTAATTAGGTAATATTTCGTTATTCGGTAATTAACCAATTACCCGCATAATTACGAATTGTCTTAAATTACTTAAAATTTTACTCATTTTTAATTTTACTTTATACATCATACTATCACGGTCATGTGGTACCTTGTATGGTACTAGTCCGTAAATACGGGGTACTATAGATTTGACCGTATTTTATCCCAAAATATCAAATTTTAACAAAATTCATTTTCTTTGATTTGCTCCCCCTCCCACCTTCACAATTTTACTTATCACTTGTTTGAAATAGTACAATACTTATAATCTCACAATAATCTCATTCCCGAATTTACGTCGATTAACTTATGACGAAACTTTAACGTACGAAAATGCGGGATGTAACATCTCATTTTCGAGCATATATCAATTTACTTATGGCGTACTTTCACGTACGAAAGCATGGGGTGTAACATCATTTTCCTCTTTGGAACATTCGTTCTCGACTGTTTACTGATGCATTTATCATTCTCATAACCCATAGCTCTTGCGAATACTTTAATATTCTCCTTTCCATTTAGACAAATGTCCTTTGAATAAATCCAAAGGCCATGTCTTTCCCCCCTTTAAGCCTCTTTCTCACACCATGACTTGTGGTCGGAATTCTTCCAATCTCGTAACTCTTGCTACCTTCTGCCATGCTGCCTGTATAACTTTTTCCTTGTAAGTGCGCCTATGAGACTCTTCTCTCTCTTTTCCTCCGGCTTTTAGCCAATCTCTAGGCCTCACTTGTAATTATATACAGAGCTTGATAAGATGTCCCTCTGGGCATCTATGGTTATACTGAAGTTCTTCGCTCGGTACTTTGTTGAACTTACGAATATTATTATACCTTATTTCATAGATCCGTTTATCCATCCGTATGAATTTACTGTCATAACTCTTACTTTAATTTATCGTTATTGAGGTTTGCTACCAAACTCCAGGTTACTCTCGTTGCTTATCCTATATGCATAAATCTAAGTCCTTTAATGCTTCCTCATTATTGTTCATCTTAAGAATGACGACCTAATCTCAGCTTATACTTTGTGACTTTTGTCCATCCATTATGATTTGTCTCAATATTGATCTACAATATACCACTGATAATTTGAAACTTCTTATGTAAAACCTTGCCACTAGGGCTTATGTTGCATCAAGGAATATTTGAAGTGATTTCCGTAATCGTATTTCATAGTATCTCGATGTGAATCGCCTTATGGGGGTATTCTGATCTCGTGCCGTTTCGTGAAATCTTTTCTCCTTCTCCCTTTTTTCTTTCTTCAAATCATTATTCAGTCGAAGGCCTAACCATTATCTTTTATCTGTCACAATTACACCTTCATTTCACAACCAGGGCAGCATTCCATCTCTTCTAAATGCTACTAGTCTTAGACTTCTTTGAGTTCATTCATGCTATACTGAGCCTTCTATAACTTAGAGAACCTATTGAATCTCATGTTTTCATGGGCTTAATCCCGAGAACAGAACCA